TAGTAGTAGTAGTAGTAGTAGTAGTAGTAGTAGCAGCAGCAGCAGTAGTAGCAGCAGCAGGGGTAGTAGTAGTAGTAATAATAATAATAATAGTAGCAGCAATAATACTAGTAATAGTGGTAGTGGTAGCTAGTAGGAATAGTAACTAGTATAATAGTAGCAGTAGCAACAGCAGCAGTAGCATTAGCAGCAGCAGCAGTGGTAGTAGGAGTAGGAGTAGGAGTAGGGGTAGGAATGGTAGTGGCCGTGGTCGTGGTCGTGGTGGTCGTCGTCGGTACTACACATGGTAGTCGTAGTAGTCGTGATGTAGTAGTAGCCGTTGAAAAATGCGTAGTTGTCGAAAAGGCAGTGGTAGTGCTTTTGGTAGTAGTCGTTGTCGTTCTGAGGAGGACGAGGAGGAGCAGGAGGAGCAGCAGCATGTGAAGTAATGTTAATAGAACCGTCGGCCAGATGCAATCCAGCAACAAGACGCCATTCAGGCTCATGGGATCCACCTGTTGGGTGCGAAACTTGCAAGACTCTGAAGCATGCAATCCCGACCTTGCGGTTGGCTCACTTGGACTGGCACGCCCGACCAAGCAAACCGCACACCCAGATCCACACCCACTCACGCACAGATTCCTATTCAGAAGGTGACGGTTTTCTTGATTCCCAGAGCCTGCGGATCCGTGGTGAGGTCGACTTGGTTCGTCTGTCCCTCTTTGTAGGTGTCGGTCCCCAGCATGTTTCGGAAGTACTCGCTGCGTGCCACCAGCATGCGTTTGTCCACATAGAGCTTCTTCTCGTCTGGGAGGTGGAATGTGACCGTTTCCAATTCCTCGGCTATTAAACGGGCGATAGGGGCTTGGCGTTCAAAGCTTCGCATGCAACCTTGGTTTCGGTTCGCCCTCTCCGCCTCAGGGTGAACAACCCACATCCTTGTTCTACCTGACGCCTGTCATTTTTTTGAGAAATGATGCTTGGGAACTATGCCGTTTGGTCTGCATCGGCAGGATAGGAAGCTACCATAATTGTTCTTGTAACTTCAATCGCCATTTCTGTGCCGTTCAGTGATTACGATCATCGTTATGGCATGGCAGCTTCTGGCAAAAAGACTGTTGTTGTCATTGTGAAGGTGACGAAGACTATGCCATCACAGTTTTATAGAGGATGTGTCTTTAGAGTGCTCGTGTTGAGGCTTTAGTTACGGCTTGAGGGTGCAGTACAAATGCACCGAATCATGAAGCTTTTGCCGTCAACCTAGAAACAAGAAACAGTCATCCTTCTTGTGCATCTTCCCTGAAAGCAAAGCGTCCTGTGACAGGTCCAGGCCCTTTGTCGTCTGGACAAACTTGTCATCGTCCACAGGCAGCAGAGCGCGAATGCGCAAGTGGAACTGCCCTTTCTCATCCAACCAGCACTTGTCTCGTGTGAGGTCCGCAGTTCGTACCAGGTCCACATAGTGGGGGTCCTTAATATTACGAGCATTGAAACAACGCACAGAAAGGGTGTTCGCAGCCGGAAAGAGCCCCCCCTTCAGCCACTTCTGTCCTGGTCAAACCTTCAGGGCCTTCAGCCCTCTCAGCCTTCTGTAGGACGAGGTTCGTCGGACGTCTGAAAATGCTCCGTGGCAGACCAAAACAGGCCTCTGCCCGGTTCGGTGACCTTTGGAAAATTGTACATGGCGATCTCCCATTCAACCTGAGCGGTGGTGACACTCACCGACTTTCCACTCACGCTAAAGCAAAAATGACCGATAGCCTGAACCAGTACATGTCACAGGTGATCCGCCAGAAAGTGTTACCGGTCTTTGTCGCTTTCGACTCTTCAGGGGTGTGCTTGTGCCCATGTCATGGAACTTAACTATCTGACCAGTTGCATAGGCATGGGTAGGTAGCAGGTTGAAAGGTAGATGGACGCATGGGTTGATATAGCACAATCTGGTTCTACGCAGTAGCGCAACAGTGTACTGTCTAGCATATAGACAAACAAACAACAAGCGTAGAGGGGCCTGAGTACTTAGAATAGGGTCTTGGATAAATGTTACTATAACTACTCTAGGTAGTTATGAACGCCCCTAAAGTAGGAAGTCAGGTCTTGGGGTTTTCAGATTGAAATTCTGAAATCCTACCCGAGTGGCCTCCTCAACGATCCAGTAGCTCTTTGGCGCCTTCATGTATTCCGGAGGATGCACCTCCGGGTCTCGCATACTGCAAACTATCGTGGCACAATAGTATACTAGCAGTATACTATAGTACAGTGTAGTACATTGTAGCATGTTGCTCATGTATTGTGGTATATCATAGCTTATTCTGAAGGGTCTCCACTCACTTGTTTCGACTTTGGCGCACCGTTGTGTTCAAAGTTTGGAGCTTGCTTCAGCAGCCTAGGCGTCCAATATTCACTTTTTGCCTATGGCTACCGTGATACCATACTGTACTATACTATTCCATGCTACACTATAGTAGTAACATATCATATAGGCGAAGAGCATAGTTTCGCCTACCGTAGTATAGTACGGCGTGGTATGGTATGGTATGGTTGGTTACATGCTACAACCTCAAAGGCCCCAGCGGATTGAAAACGCTTTGGGAATAGAGTGATCAATTTCTGTCGTCCCTCAGAATTTCAAGCCTCAACAAGGCCCGAGACAGCATAGCATCTGCAATAGCAATCGCCAGCAGTGTCGTCATCATCACCCCACCATCACCCGAATACCATCTTTCGTTCAGCTTCACACTAGGAACTGGCCCGAATCTGACGTGAAATGCAGCTTTCTGTACCCCACAAACCGCCATTTCAGGATTTGACCCTGGTGCTCATCTGTCATTATCAAGTCGTATACTATATATATATATGTATATATGTATATATATATATATATATATATATATATATATCGTACTAGAATATCAAGCCATAAACCATAATACACTATACGATACTGCTGAAGTTTGGTATACCATACCGAACTACAATAATCCCGAAAGCCCCGACCTCCACCCGCACGCTGAGGTAGCTGCACTCCTGGACAAGAAGGGGTCCATTCTGAAGCACCTGGTGGTTAAGGGATCTTTCACACCATGCAAGGCTCCCAAGCCTCTTCGCTTCGAGTTCAAGGCTAGCAAAGCAACATAATTCTTGATCCCAAACCTCGATGAACTGCAGCCCGTGGCCTTTCGAACCCAGAAGCCGCGACGACCCAAACGTGCTTTCTCACTTCCCCCACCCTTTTTGGGACTTCTCGCGTCACCCGTCCTTGGGCATGATGTAACACTTGAGCCGGAACGAGTCCGAACCCCCTGCATCGCGAGTGAAAAAGCCTGAGTACTCGTGTCTGCAGCTCGACTTCTTGTCCAGCCAGCACAGCCAGGAATCTTAAAATCTACCGCAAGATAATATACTATAGTACAATATGAACGAAATTGAACCATCATGGATTCCAGACTGCTGCTCAAAGATTGCTAGTGGGCTCTTCAGGTTAAAGTGTTTCACGAGGATTGCAAAATACATGAGCCTCAAAAATGGCACTAAGGCGTTGGCTGTATCTTGCACCCTTCGTAGAGACTATACTCGTAACAAGGAACCCAATGGTGCTGGCGGCATCGTGTACCATAGGTATAGACTATAGACTATGAAAACAGTAAGGAGCCCAGCGGAGTGTTAAAACTCCATACATATGTCAGCAACTTCACCAACAATGCCATACATAGAGCCTTTCGTATGTGAACACCGGTCAGGCCGCTTGCGGATACTTAGCTGCAACAGAGACAAGCGACCTTCGTTCTGCTTGTACTTGTCCTGCAGTGAAGAGATGAGCATCAACTTGAGCAATGGAGGGCGAGAATCCAGGCGGAAGCAACTGACTCTACGGAGCCAGCTTTCAGCAACGACATGCGAATCTACATGCATCACTCTCTCCGCACGTGCTCTTGGCATGTCTGTTCGACTTGGTGGCATGCCAGAGCTCCTTGCGTGTTACGATGTCAATCACCTGCCACACCCTGGGTAGATAGGCCGGGTATCCTCGGCTGAGGCTTTGCAAGGCTTCGAGGTGATCCCGTTGGATTTAAGTATATAGCCGCAACACTAAACCCTAACTAATTAAGCTTTGGCATCAAAACTCAAACTCCCAAAATCGACCTGGTGTCGGTACTCCACCTCAGGCACCGGTGCCTTCACCAAATTCAGCAGAGGAATGGTTGCAGGCGCCGGCTCCTGCTAGAAAATGCCAGAGGCTAGCACTCTGAGATTGAATCTGCATCTTACAAATCATAGAGAACTCAGGGACGGTGTCCTGTGGAGGGTCCGTCGGCGTCGAGGAAGATGACACCAGGGATGGCATTGATGGCATTAAGGTCCACGGCATGGCGAAGACTCACTTCACGCGCTGTGTAGCGAGTCCCGTGGCAACGTTTCTAGCTAGCTCTACAGAGCCAAGTACACATGAGAGTCATGCAGCCTGCACCTTGGAATTGTGCCCGATTGCTTTCGATATCCTGGTCCCGACACATCATCAACTGTTTAGGCACTAGTCGACTGGAAACTGCGATGGCGCTGAATGTCTACTGTTGCTGCGCCGAACATTGCTTGCAAGGCAGTTGCAGGTAGCTTGACATCGAGATGCATCCGGCGGGGCAGTCGCTGCCGACGTGCACACGTATCATCGGTCCGAAGCAAAGTTGAAGGAGGTGATTCAAGCGATGATCAGCCCCAACCCGTCCATGGATCCTAGTTTGGTGAAATCATGTTGGAGCCGTTCGCCAGAATCCTGATCCCAAGCGATCACGATTTCCGTTGTCAGTCTAACCGCCTGCGAAAATGTGACGGATTAGGTTTGTTCGGGAGATCTTGTTGGAATGGAATTGTATAAGCCCGCATGACGTCACATTATGCTCCAAAATGCTTCAATTGAACGCCCTTGGCCGATGTTAGCCTAACCTGTAGAGAACCGCATCTGCCGTGTCAGTTCTGAACAAGGGTTCCTGCCATTGCTTCAAGGTTTACGACTCTGCGGTGGCCTTTGCCGCGAAGCCAAAACGCTCGCAGCTGACCCAAAGCTCATCACAGTCTGATGGGTGGACTTTGACTCGAATCACCTCCCGGAGGGAAGGGAACTCTTCAAGAGCCGTTTCCGTCGTAACAGTAGATGCGATTTCACTGCAGTACATGCCAGTAGTAGTGGTAGTAGTAGTAGTAGTAGCAGTAGCAATAGTTGTCGTAGTTGACTAATAGCGGCAGCAGTAGTGGTAGTAACCATAGCAGCCAAAATAATCACAATAGTGGTGCCCGATCATGCTCGGGCTGGCACTGCTGGTATTCGGTGGCGGTGGTCCACTGCTGAAGCTGCTGCGAGCAATAGACTAACACCCCTACCAGACTTCAACAACGAACCATAACTGGAAAAAATGAGGCTGATACCGACCCATCACGACAGTGACCACTACCAGTCTTAACACTTGCTAACCAGCAGCAGCAGCAGCAGCAGCAGCAGCAGCAGCAGCAGCAGCAGCAGCAGCAGCAGCAGCAGCAGCAGCAGCAGCAGCAGCAGCAGCAACACTGCACCAATCAAATGACATGAACCACCATACATCATCACGCCAACCCCAACTTCATCACCAGCACGGAGCGACTTCGTCTTGATCGCCTTGTGGGGCTTCACCGTCATCGTCGTCTTCACTTGCCTATGTATTACGATTTTCCGCATCATCACAATTCTCGCTCCTCCTGCTCCTTCTCCTCTTGCTCCTCCTCCACCTCGTCTGCTGAGCTCGCCACGCTCCCTCGCCATGCTCCATGGGCTTGGGCAGGCTTGTTTAAAAGTGCTCCTGTGATTGCAAGAAGCCTGGCACTGAATCCCAAGCGCTTATCGTCAGCCTCGTTGCATTTGGGAGGACAGCGCGGGCGAACGTACCTTGACACAAACAGGTGGGCCGCCGATGTGCGGATTTGGGGCCTCCAGATTGAAGCTAAATGTGCGTGACTCCGTACAGAGCGTGGTAACACCACTTGAACCCTCGCAAGACCTGTGTCCAGCCCTAGAGCCACTTACAGTAAGCCTCAGAAGAACCCTTCTAGTAACCCAAACTTTCAACGTCCCGACTAGATCCTCTGAACTCCACAAATATGTCGGATCCTTGATATAATAATCATAGAACATTTTCCCCCCAAACACCATTCTGATTCGTGCCCTTGTGTTATAAAACCCTGTGCATCCCTATAATGTCCCTGTAAGAACGGGACCAGGACCACTGTTTAGTTCTTAGAGCCCCATTCTACTGTAAAATCTTCCATAATGCCCCTGTAAAAGCCCTGTGGGAACCGTTAAAGGGGCTTAGGACCAGTATTCGAACTCTTCAAGCCCCCGGATTTTCAAACCTCTGCGCTCCGGTACAGCATCCAGTCGGGCTTGCAGGCGAAACAGCTCCTTCAGTCCAGGCGAACTCAGGGTTGAGGCACTTTAGGCTCTTGGACTGAAGCGGTTAGACTGGTAGGGTTTAGGGTGGACAATTTTGGGGGATGCAAACACCTCCTAGTTCAAGGCTAGAACCCAGAGTTAACTCTGTGAAGAAACATGTTGTACTGCTGCTAGACTACTAAACAGTTTCTTTGATGTTCAAGTGTTCGGGCTTTTGGGCTCATCAGGTGAGAACGTGATGCTGACTATGCTAGTAATGGCGAAAGGCACTGCTGGAAGCATCCAATTGCAGGCCACAGCAAGGAAAGCGCGCTCATCGAGAGGAGGTCTGGCATGTCGACCAAGTTGTTTCAATCTCCGGCACACCCAGAAAACCAAACCCTAACCAAGCCGCAACAAACCACTCCTGTGAAAATATGTCCACTCCTAATTTGAACACTTCTCAAGAAATAAGCACCCTCCCTTGCCAGAAACAAACCTGCCTAACCCGAAATTCAAGGTCAAAGCGAGGTTTCAGGGCTTGAGGCCTTCACCCGTGAGACTTTTGACGAGTTCGGCCCAGAAATACGGGACCGACTACTGAAGCTGGGCACAATCTAGAGAAACTCCGTTTCAGACTTTCTGAAACCTTCTTAAACAGGACAAACCCTTATGACACCGTTTATCCCCGTATACGGTATAGTAACCCCAGTCTTTAACAGCTAGCCGAGTCGCATCCCTGCCGTGTAGGTCAGCAGCGCCGACCAGCAGCCCGCATGAAGCTGAAGGGCTTTATTTAGGCTTTGTATGAGGGGTTGAAACGGCCCTAAAATCAAAATATCATTACTAAATGTTTATAATTACATAACTGCAAGAACTTCTTAGTGAGAAGTGTTTACTGGCTTGTGGAGCAGTTCAGGTTTGGGAAGTGGCTCAGCATTGTCGGGACGTGGAGTTGAGAGTCTGCACTTTAAGTCCTTCAGAGGCTCCCTGTCTTTTGTCTTTTCAGTTTGGGTTCAGGCAGCTTAGGGTCCAGAGTGGAAACTTTTGCAAGGGCTGAAACATGTGTAGTGTCCGTGGGTCGGATGCCTAGTCCGGACTTCAAGCTTCAATGATTTCCTGCTTGTACTCCCAGACTGATGCCACGGATGCTGTGGCACTCATGTGTCTGTTGATTTTCCTCTTGGATTTGGCTAGTGTTGTAGTCGCAAATAGTGGGTTTGCCCGGCTCCTCAGTGCAATGTTGAAACAGCGCGAACGAAAGACTTCTGGTTTGTACCAAAGGCTGCTCGTCCCGTGTCGGCTTGTGCCGCATACCAAAGGCAGCCACAGCATTGAACCCAGCAAAACAGCGGCCAACGAACTATCGAAGCCTGTGATGTTAGTAAGACAAGGTTGGATTGCCTGTATCCCAACAGTTCCGCCCTGCAGTGGGTCTCAGTGCTGAACTGCGGAAACGCTTTGGGCTGCCATGACGGGTGACCATGACAACTTCTCAGCGCCTAGATAACAGCAATGTTCCGAAAGTGGTCTTGTCAACCGCTCCCCAACTTCACCGAACTCTTGGAAACGATCCACTATGCAGGTGCCTCCGGCTGTAGCCTGAAGTCAGACAATGGCTTTTGGCTGGGCTTCTTGAGTTCCGGTTCGCGGGCAGGCACAACACACAGATCAGAGCCCCCAGCACCCACATCGTCACGTTCCAAGGAGTCTTTTGAGAAGGATCTACACAAACCAAAATAAGTCGGTACGGCTGAAGCAGCTTCAGAATAAGTTTTGGTGCCCATTATACGATACTTACAACAAGGAGCCACCAAAAAAGTATTGGTAATCATTCAGGCCCCTATACTAGGCAAGAGATGCTCACTGAATCAAGCTAGCTCCTCGGCCCCGAATCCCCATATCTCACATCCATGCAAGTCCTAAGCCCGCACTTTGTGCCAAGAAATCCCAAAACTCACCCTATGCACCCACACACTTTTTGCAAATGCTACACATTTGGAACTGCACAGACTCACGAAAGATCAGAAGTACAATATTGCAGCCAGGGAACACAGGAGCAAACCCCTCCACAGCCGCAGCATACTGCTCCTGGAGCTTTTGATGCAGCTCCAGGAATCATGATGTTTGGGGGATGGCAGGCAACTCGACTCTCTTTGTCTTAGGCTCTGTTTTGCTGTTTCTGGCTCCAGAAAGACGATGCCAGGAGCATGGGGACGTCAGCGATTGATTGCTGTCATCAGCAATTCAATCGTCTCAACATCGTTCCTCCTTCTGATGCTGCTAAGGTTATAAGCATGGGTACTGACAGAAAGCTTGTGGATCAAAAAAGCAGTAGGCATGGGTGTACAATAGCGTAGAGTAGCCCAAGCTACAGCATAGACAGGTACTTACAAACACAGCGGTGGCGATTCTACCAGCAGCAACAACCTGCCTGCTCCGAACAGTTCTCAGCAGCAGAAGCTGCAGCAACGACAATGCTGACAGTTGCCGTTGCACTAGGTTACTAGTAAGAGCGATGGCAGCAGGAACCCAAACCTCTAAACTCGAAACTCCCAGCCCAGGTCCGCCCCCACCCCCCCGCCGAAATCTTAAAGTCGATCTCCCAACCAAAAACAAGGCGTACTACGTTGTCACGGGTCCTTCTCAAGGTCTGGTGCCTCCTTGTACTCGTTGGTCTCCATAACCTGCATGACCTTCGCATCAAAGCAGTAAGAGTGCGTGCCGCGTCAGTCTCCAGACAAGACTCTGACTGGAAGGCAAACTTAGTCTTAACTCTGTTGAAAAAGTACAGAATGTGAGTGCTAGCGAGGCTAGTTCAAATCGAATGTGCTGAGGGTACCGGAAGTAACAGCCATGCGGGCACAATACCGGTTGGGCTGCATGCGCCTCTGAGCGGAGACCTGCACACGACATCCACAACTCCATTTAAGAATATGCAAAGCTCACCATCTTCCATCAAGCTTGGGAGGCAGACTGTCGTGAAAGACAGTTGATGCCTGTTTGTACGGCTTCGGTGGGATTGTACCTGTGCTAGTCTCAAGGAGTCGCGAGTGCATGACAGCCAAAGCCGGGGCGACGCATTTGCGATCAGTTCTGAGTCCTGGACTAGGATAAAAGCATGATAGTAATCAGAAACCACAATTCAAAAACTTACCTGGGCGGGGTGCTGAGCCCGTGGTTCCCGGGGGCAGATATTGGCTCCGACATGTGACCTGAGCTCCCGGCAGACTCCCGATGCTGGATCACACGCACCAGCTTGGACGGGAAGATGTGGTTTCCTCAGGAGCCGGGTTTCCGATCGTCAGGATCCAGAAATTTGCCGCTGAGATCCTCGTACTGTTGGAGGCACTGCTGAAGCGACGAAGAACTTCGCTTGTCAAATGCTGCCGCGATCTTCTCCGAGGGGCTGAAGTAATCGTAATGCATGCCTTGCACGGCCTCAAACCTCGGTTGAGCTCGCCGCGGGCCGGACCGGCATGAACGTTAGCCATGTAGGTGCTTGCCACGGACAGCGAAGACGTTTCAGAGCATCATGCCCCGGGCCCCGGAGATGAGAAGCTTCAGTGTTGAGACCTACCTCTTCTCAAGCAAAGGAAACAAGAAAACCAAGTAGAACTCAGCCTCTGCACCATCGTAAAGGCGAGTTGCTTGGCGCTGCAGCACGATGCCTGAAGCAGCGAGTCATGCTAGTCGCCAGCCCCATCTGCGCTGTTTCTGGCAAGAGACAACTCGCTCAATACCAAAAGGCAACAGCCCAGGTGCCAGAGGGCATCTCCTCCAATGCTTTAAGCTCCCGAATCATCCTGGCCCATACCCCAAGCCGGCCCCCACAAAAAATCCCAGCATCGAACCTTACCTGCCCTCACCCTGCACTGTCCCTACACCCCTATAATCCCTATAAATCCTGGGAGGGAGAGGGAAGGAGCAGCCTCCGAGTTGTAGGCCGGGCAGAACCTAAGGCCTTGCCATGCGCTTGGAGCTTCTCTTGGGCCCGGTGTTTCCGCTTAGTTTAAGGTGTATAGAGGTTCCTTTTAAGTCCTGGGGTGTTGAGTTTTGAGTTTGTCAGGCTTAGGATGCTTAGGGCTCAAGGGCGGAAATTTGTTTGGTGAGTGGGGCTGAGCTGGGAGGCACGGTGCAGTCAGTTAGTGTGACGGCAAGCTCGCTTTTGGTGAGCAAAACGTTGGACTTGGGGTTTACGGTGCCAGCTTGGTACGGCAACAAGGATTGATATTCTACAGCTCGGACATTCCTCGGCTACAGTCATACTCCTAGTTTTCAGCTATCGAACACCCTGTCGCAACAATTGTAATCGTTGACACGCCTTTCCGAATCCTAAGCCTAGCTCCACTAACCTTTTTCGATGCTTTCTACATCCTAAACCCTCAACGCCCTCCTCATCACTGTTAACCAAAGCATCCCTCAACCCTGCTCTCGTCACTGCATGCCGCCGGTTGCCGTTGTGCACCATCGGATCGCCTTGAGTCCAAAGCTGGGTTGTACAGTCGGTCGTCGTTGTTATAGGTTATAGTGCTAGCCTGGACATTGTGCTGCGACTTTTATTGTGCATGCACATAAAAAGTAGCAGCACAATGTCCAGGTTATAGTGCTTATTAACTTATAGGGCTTATAGGTCTCGGTCTCAGTATTCGGTGTCGCGTGGTCAGGCTTCCCCTGAAGTCGAGGGTTTGAGGGCAACTCCTTATGAAGGAGCATTGCTTCAATGAGCCACTGTGTATGAGAGAAGGAACTTTACATGCTAAGTGAAGTGAACTGGTCGCAGTCGAAACGGACGAAAACTCCAACCCCCGCATGTAGCCCAGAATCTAGGTTCCTGAGCAGCCCCTTAATGATTAAGAACGGATCCGAAACGGATCCAAAACGGATCCCCAAACGGATCCCAAACGGATCTGAAACGCATATTTAGGAAATACAGCATTTCCAGAGTTAACAGGCAACAGATTTTCTTAACCTTAATCCCTACATAAGGGTACTCGTTTTCTCACTATTTGGTTTCAACAATATAAGGGAGCACAAGACCAAAAAGGGCAAAAGGGCACTACTGGGAGCCCAGAAGAATCAGACCTCCTCTCTCGGCCGAGTGGCTGTTCAAGGTCGGGAGGCGGCCTCTCGCCTGCCGAGGACAAGGACCAAAGCTTAAAGGGGATAGCGGCTTGGGGTTTCAAGGCTTAAGAGCTTTGGGTTTAGGGGGCTATGCTTAGGGTTTAGGGCTTAGAGTTCAGGGTTTCGCCCGAGATTGAAAGACCGCGTTCCGGGCCATTGAGACATGAAAGCAGACCTAAGAGCCGCAGAAGATCACCACAATGATCTATTCTTCTGCTTCGGGGGTGTCCTGGAAAGGTGAGGGTTGAGTCTTATGCTTCAGGCACTTCCAAGCTAAAACGCCTGAGCCGGTAGCACGAGCCAGCAGAAGGCCTGTGATTGCCCCCCCCCGGCCGCCTGAGACTGAGAGAAGGCGCCAGTGCTTCTGAAACCCTTATCTTTGGTTAGTAGGGAATGGAAGAACGGTAGTAACAGTAGTTTTGATTGTACCCCATTCCTCCATTCCGTACTAACCCAAGGTAAGAAACCTGAACCAGAACGACACTGAAAACCACTCAACTCGGGGAATCGCCAGTTCAAAGATGCTGAATCTAATATGCTTAATAGGGCCTTTATATAATGGTTTTGGGGCCCATTATACTATAAGTATAATAAGAACCCCCCAAAAATAGTATAGGTAATGATGAAGGCCCCTATATTACCTCCCCCCTGTAGATGGACAAGCACCATTATCAAGCCCCGAAGATGATTGCAACTTCCCATCCTTCAACCCTGCACAGCTCCGAGAGGTCAGAGAAGGCTTTCCCAGGCCTCCACGGAGGCGGAGCCAAACTCCCCGAACCAATGCCTTGGGCTGGGCAGTCTTGGGTTGAGGGCTTCAGGATCCGCCCGAGCTCACTCAACTCAAACATGCCCGAACGGGGTGAATCCGTAACCAGCTTGTAAGGGAATGGAACCCAGAATCTGAGGAGTGAGGAGAGTTTTCAACGTGCCACATCGACTCGACATGAGAGGGCTCCCACTTACTGCGGCTGAAGCACGCCTTGAACAAAGGGTTGTGGCACTGGGGATCCAGAGCATGGGCAGCGAGCAACAGCGGGATCAGAGCCCGACGCTGCATAGTAACACACCCACCCGCTTTGGAGTCTTGGGCGTAGATCTGTGCATGCCGCTTTGGGCAGGCTCAGCTATGCGCATGTGATTATCTCCCTGGTCTAGCCACCTTTTAGGGGGTCTGGAAGGCTACTTGGCTGAATCCATCTGCACCATTACGATTCCTCGAGCTTTGTCTGGCTGCTGTCAGGTATTTCATGGCTCGGAGTCAAAGCTCACGGCGTGACTCTGTACGCGTCACTGACGTTCCTGCTGGTAAGCCAAAGCAGCTCCAGGAGACTTTGCAATCGCGGCAGCATGCGTTGGTGGACTATGTCCAGGGCATTCTGGTGCTTAAGAAGTCAAGGAAGCAGGCACCGGCACTGCTTCCTCTTCGCCTAGTACATGTCCTACCCAAGACCAACCTATTCTTGGGTAAACTGATCCTGCCCTCGTCTCGTGTCAAACGGCTGGCATCCTTTTTTCCCCCTCCCGTCTTAGAGCGCTGCGGGTCAAAGCCTCCGGCCGAGGACTTCGTGTCAGGGGGACTGGAGCTCATGAGTAGGCCAAGGGCTAAAACAAGCCGACAACCCAACATGCCGAATGGGCTCTCGTACAAGAAGACTCTTCCTAATTCTTCAGGCTTGCTTGTTCAACATTGAGCCCTAAACACAGGCCCTCATGATCTTCAGATGACCGCATCTGCCATCCTTAGAAAGCAGGGAGAGCATTGCAAACGGTTTCGGCTTTAGGGGGCTGGATCGTGGTTCCGGTGCTCCAGAAGTTGAGCGGCGTTTATTTGCGGAGTGGCCTGTTGTTGCGTTGGTTCCTGCCTCTCGCGTGGAAATGAAGTCTTTGTCGTAATCCAAGAACTCGGAGCTTCGGAGTTCGGCCATCAAAGAGTGATCGGTACTCTGCTCAGATGGCCCAGTTCTTACACTCTCAGAATGAAGGAACGTTTCAACCCGAGATGTTCGGGGCCGATGAAGTTGAAGCAGGCTTCCACTAGGACCATACGAGACTATGGATCAGCACCCGCAAAACCCTCGAACTGGGCAAGCCGACTTCATGGTCACGCTTACAGCAGACTCTCGTTAAACCTAAATCCGTGGCTCCTAGCTCGGTTGTCCGGAGGCACTTTTGGTATAACATATCGGTGCAGCTTTCCCATAACTTTTACTTGTCGTCCCTTCGCTCAGCCCCCAGCGAGGCACTCATAGAAATGCGGACGACCTTGCCTCAGGGTTGTCGTCCTACAATAGTCTTGGGCAGGAAGGATAATGTAAAGGAGAGAATCGCTAAGCCCAACATCTGAGGTGTCTCGCGGAAGATGTTACTAGTAAGTGGTGATCCTCACGACGGTTGTAGCAACTGCAGCAGCAGGAAGAAGCGGCTTGGTGCAGAGCGGTAGTGTTGAATTTGATGGTTGTCGTAAACTTGTCCTAGCTGCAGCCGCTCAGGAAGTAGCAGCGGTTGTTGAACAAGCAGGGGGCCAGCAATCGCATCCATTGCAGCTGGTAGCGGCAGTGGCAGTGGCAGTGCTACCAGTAGTTGCGGAAGCTTCAGCAGGAGCACCAGAAACGGTGAGAGCACATGGAGAAGCACAACAAGCAGCCAGACTATTTCTACTGGACTCATCATTTCCTTAGAGGCTCCATGCACGGCAACGTGTCGAGCAGGGACAAGTCAAGACTGAGGTGAAACCCCAAACTGCGTTAGGCAAAGCAATTAAAATCCAGACATCCTGAGCAAGGTTGCTAGAATACTACTGAGAGAACTTGGTGCGCGACCGTCAGAACCACCCACCGCCAGCGCATCTTTCGCCAACCACGCCTGAAAGGAACGGCTATGGTGCAAAGCAGGTAGACAACTTTCCCGAAACGCTCACGGAGTCACTACGACGATACTAATTAGGGGTGTTTGTGCACTGATGCTGATGAAAACGGCGGCGATATGCTTGGTGCGTGATGCTAACACGGAAGCAGTGCAGTGCTGATGATGACCATCATCATCATGTCCCAGCGCAAGATGTGGATGCAGGTGCATGGGAGGACTCTTCCAAATCCTACTTCTTGCATTTCAGGGTACCGACGTTAGAGTCATTGGCACTCTGTAAGTCGAGGGTAACCGACCTGCAAGCCCGAAAGCTTCCTGAGCACAACAGGAAGTGTTCTTAGCAGCTACATTTCGCCGGGAGCTTAGGCGTCTACGCTCAGCATGCACTGGCCGCGACATTGTTGAATTGGTGCTTCCTTCTCGTATGGAATGAGATTGAGGAGTTCTTTAGCAAGCAGTTACGGCTATGGCGCCATGAGAGAGCTTACAAATAACAGCTTCACCGCCTGACATAGACCATTTCAGAACTTGGACCATCGCGCGAGCTGAAGCCGAGTGCAAAGCCACGCACAGCAGCTTGTTCGGCGTTGGCACCTGCTTGCCCACCTGAGGCGAGTCCAGCGGGCTCCACC